ATTTATAATTTATAATACTACGCCTCTGTCATTTTGTATATAATCAGTAATATCACGTAAAGAAATTTCCAAGGCATACATTATGATTGCATATATATACATGTATCGTATATATGATCGTATTCCGGCTTATTCATTCATTAAATTTCTATGTCCTACTTACTTACAATAAGTAATTTCTATATACTCACCTATAAATTATATACATATGTATAATAGATATACGTAAGTATCCATAAACAGTTAAATAAATCTACAACTGATGCTCACAATGGAACTCCCAGGTGTCAATTATCGTTGCACAGCAATTATTGTGTCGCTTTTCGATTTGATTAAGAAATGCCGTTCACAAATTGAATCAGCGGTTTTCATATTTCGTTATATTGAGAATATAAACATAATGAGTTTAATAAATAACAATAGTTGCTACAACAAGTAAAGCCTTTTCTAGCATATTCTCTTAGACATGGGTGTTGATATCTTTGATTAGTTGATCCATGATAATTTATCTAAATATATGGGTGCTTACCAATTTTCCCGGCGCGCCCACCATCTAGAAGCGAACGGCTGAACTTAAATATACACGAAAAACAGTATAGTAGTAATGGATTATTATTTTAATTGAAATATTTTCAATCCATTGGCTTTTATAAACATTACCAAAAGTGGTACGTTTTTTGAGATCGCAATTACGGAATAATTTTAATGATTTGTACTTGTATTTATTTAATAGCTTGATCTACATTTAAAACTGCTTATATTATACAGATCAGTTCTTTTGCCATTTTATTATTATTTTATATGCAGACACTCTGTAGCCAATCGCTATTATTATTATTATTGAGGTACTTATAAATGCATTGAACAATATTCTGTGGGTGTATTGAAGTGTAGGTGAAGACCTTTGTTTTAAACATGGTTCGTCAGAATTTGACCATGAATATTGTCGTAATACAGGGATAAAAAATGACTCATACGAATAATTTTGAAATTTTCCATTCAGCTGAATTAATGATACATGCAATGTCAGATAACGGAAAACTAGATCATCATTACGAATCAAAAACAAAAGAATATACATAAAAGGCTACGAAAGTCAGATAGGTCAGGTAAAAAATTTGGCAATCAATAGCGATTGCAATTTTCTAGTTAATTTTATTAACACGTACTTATTTATATATTATTTTAAATGTTATTTTTTCAAAGAGGTCACCAATAAATTGAGATAAATGGTGATGCGGAAGGGGGAAATACATTCAGAAATATCGTCCGAATTAGAATTGGCTTTAACCACTGAAAAGCGCGAAATTTTAGGCATCTAAATTTGAAAATTGTTTAAAAAGAAGCTGAAATTATGAATCATTTCTTTCAATACGTAAAACTACATTTTTGTCAAAACACATATCACTTTACGACACCCTCTGATGCAATTTGTATCATTCAAAATTAAAAGTAGTTTGAGCTACCGTAAAGAGCAAAATTCTTCGTGTTCAAATTTGAAAATTGGTTAGAGTAAAGGAGCCAAAATTATGAATCATTTCTTTCAATACGTAAAACTACATTTTTGTCAAAACACATATCACTTTACGACACCCTCTGATGCAATTTGTATCATTCAAAATTAAAAGTAGTTTGAGCTACCGTAAAGAGCAAAATTCTTCGTGTTCAAATTTGAAAATTGGTTAGAGTAAAGGAGCCAAAATTATGAATCATTTCTTTCAATACGTAAAACTACATTTTTGTCAAAACACATATCACTTTACGACACCATCTGATGCAATTTGTATCATTCAAAATTAAAAGTAGTTTGAGCTACCGTAAAGAGCAAAATTCTTCGTGTTCAAATTTGAAAATTGGTTAGAGTAAAGGAGCCAAAATTATGAATCATTTCGTTAGAATTCATAAAACCACATTTTTGTCAAAACACATACCACTTCACCATCTGATGCACTTTTGTATCATTCAAATTAAAAGTAGTTTGAGGTACCGTAAAGAGTAAAATTTTTCGTATCCAAATTTGAAAATTAGTTGAAAAGAAGCCAAAATTATGAATAATTTCTTTCGATTTTCCAAAAATGCATTTTTATCACACACAACATTTGTTGCCTTATCACACCCTGCGACCATACTAATTAAAACTGAGTTAACTGGTGCTGGATCTTGGGCATTCACTGCCCCTTGCACAACTTTCTGGAGTTCCCTATTCATAAAAAAATTAAAATCAAACTATAAAATTCCTAAGTGCTTTTACAATTTTTCAAGACTTACTAGAACGTTTATATTTGGACCCCATATCAGTTGGAGGCTCGACGCCATACAGCATCATTTGCATCATCATAGATCCACATCTGATTTTCCTCGATTATTGTCAGTTAACATTTATCTTGTTTTCGCTTTCCCTTTCCTCTTTAACCATCTTTACCCCTTTCAAATTCCGACTACCAATTTTAATAATCGATGTTTTGTTAAATGGTAAAATTTTAGCAGATTTTTATCAACAACATTAACCTTTGTAGATGAAAGTTTTACATGGAGCTCGTACAAGACATTACAAACATTAGTAACGTTTGATTGCCAGCAAAGATAGATAAATAATAGCCTTCCATTCGACATAGACACAAAGATGCCCACGCGATTTTACAGGAAAGCACATCCAGTTAGCCTTGACTCTCGTTCCGAGACACGAAAAACTAGTAGAGCCGTTTAATAAAAGGGAAAGAAAACTAAATAATAATAACAGCAATGGCGAACTATCTGTGTGATTCACGCAGATTTCCTGGAAGCATCAAAGAACCAATAGTAAAATATACCACTAATGGGTTATTCTACCTATAAAGTCGACCACGCAAATGATGTCGGCATTATACGGTGTATATTTATTTTCTATTGGAAATGGAAATACTAACACCTGGTAGAATAAAATTGAGATTTCCTTTATTACAACTTTATTATCGCCATTTGAAATGAGTTGTGTGTTAGGAACTGATAAAAAGCAATGTCGACTGCTCGACTCCCTTTTTTTACTGGGTACCTCTGAGTATGGTCGTAAAAAACTTAAATTTAAATTTTTTGAAGTCCTAAATACATACTACAGCAGTATAAAGGAGCTTAAGTATATGTAGATTAAATGTAACACGGTATTTTATATCGAGCTGAAATTGAACTTTATATCCATGATGATTTCGCGTTCTTTATCACATTATCAGGTGTAGAAAATTCGGCCCTAAAATAAATAATCCGAATGTATAACAGTTCAATTAAATTAAAATTATTATCTCTTATAATATAAGAAAAGCGCGAAATAAGGTAAATGGTTTTAAAATATGTCCGATTAAAGTCACAATTGATTAGTAAAGCGTTCAATCCATAACCACAAATTTATTAGATTAGTACGGTTGGAAGAGTTATTTCCTATTTATACGAATTTTAACTAAGCAGGGATTAAGTCATTAATCTATATACAGCGTAAACTCTATATAACGACACTTAAGGGACTGAACATTTTTCGGCGTTATAAAGAGTGGTCGTTAAATGGAGAGAAATAAAAGATATTATTTTACTATTCTATAATAATATGCTTTTAGCAATATAGTACACATTTTGCACACGAACATTATTATTCATACCTACATTGCGTATAGCCTGTTATCTTCGTCTGATGTTTTTTGCTGCTCCAATATTTTAATTGTATTTTGTTACGTATCTTACTCATATCTTGAGATACCGCTGGATCAATTTAATTATATAAAAAGTATTTTTTTAATTGTTTCGCTGCATCAAGTGCTTGTTTGATGCTTGGTGGAGGGACAGGATCGTCTTCTTCAACAACGTACACAGCTGCAGTTCTTATCTATTTCGGCAACTTAGAAAGTACTGCTTAATGATTTATAATGCCGCATTGCTGTCGTTAAATAGAGTGAGCGTGACGCTATGTAGAGTGTAATATTGTATAGAAAACAATGTAAACCAACCAAAGTCAAGCAATTTCGACGTTTTAAGGAGTTTGTCGTTAAATCGAGTGACGTTATAAAGAGTTTACACTGTATTTAATTAATATTACAATTTTAGTGGGTTTGACCACTAATTGGATTTTAGCATTTATCTTCTCTCTATAAAGTATACGCGAATATCCAATTGGTGTCGTTTTCTATTTCTAGGTTTTTTAAGTACAGGCACACTTTGTTATGTACTTATATATGTGTATATTTTAAAATCTATGCTTATCTAGTGACCCATGTACCACCTATCGGTTATTGCAACACGAATTTCTACTACTCGTATTTTTTTCAGCGTGTGGTAACAATGCGTCCGTTAAGTATGCGTGGCAGCCATTATTGTGTTGCCAAACGTCGATTTCATGCAAATCAGGAACATTGTTAATTCCGAACAAAACTCACACCCATACGTACCTATATAAATAAATTAATGTGCACACGATATTAGATTAACAAATACACGCACAAAGCAGTTTCAATTAGAAATATAATACACGATGTAGGTGCGTACAGTGAACACCAAAAGTAAGAAAAAAGAGTTAGGAAAATATTTTGAGGAAAACGCTCAGTGTTTAAATTTCAATCTCCAAATGCTCATATATTTTCGAAAAATGTTACCTCTTCCACATTTTCACGGATGTCATCATCGAAGCATTCTTAAGTAGCAAGTGTCCCACACTTACTGACAAAAAGCATTTTTGCTAATACATAAAAAATACATTGTCAACTTAAATTTTTTAAGTATTCAAAAATCCCCCTTTTGAAACTCCTCAAATTCGTAGCTTCTTTTAATGCACACATAGGGCACAATTTCCTTACAACATAAACTTTCAATTTGCGTAGGCTATGAGGAAATTATGTTAAATTTTAAATTCTGAAAAACTATATTTATTGGAATAAAACAAAGTCAAATGCAATAAGTAACACGATCATATTAAACATTCAAATTTTGAACCAAGAGCAATATGGCGATAGGCAACTTGAATTCTTTGTGTAAAGCCATAAGGTCCGGACATCGTTGTGGTCATTCCTGTGTATGTCATCTGCAAAGAATACTCAAGGGAGTGGTACAGTGGTAGTGGAAGAGTACCAATGGTACTTCACCATGACCAAAAGTAGTAATGTCAATGAAAATAAAATTGGAAAATGACGAAAATTTCGCCTAATAACGCTCTTACTTTCATTTATGCACAGTATTCCCAGAACAACAAAATTTTGGTAGGATACTTTTTTCCTTGAAGGTTTCATTTCACCCAGTAGAGCTCCGGCAAATGACTTCCGATATCTTTAGATCTTAAGCCTTTAAACTTTCCATCTGGGGTTATTTAAAGAAAAAAAATATGGTAATAAGTCATAGGATTTCAATGGTACAAAGAATCTAAACAAATTTGAAATTCGTTCAACTCCTAAACATGCTATCCATATCTGTAAAAAGCATGGGGAGCAGCTATATTAAAATAAATTAAGGGGCGACATTTGTGGAAAAGTGTATGGAGTAAAATTTTTCCTGAAAATACTTGATGCCTGCCTTCTCTAACGAAACCATTCCGTCCTTTTGGTACTCACTGTATGTAGGCATGTGCGTATGTGTTATCGATATATGCCTACCTATGGTACAGCTTTTCGACATAAACAGACTATGAGTCATATTAATTTACAAAGAGCGTGAATAGTCAAGAATTGTAACAGCACGACTGTAGGAACTTTAACGACTCCATTGTATCAGCATCAGCCTTCAATCAAATCGATCGTAATCGATTTTATTGGTTTATGGTTTTGTTCGATATACATGACAAACTTATTCCCAATAATTGTAATGGACGTATGGTTTAAAGGTTGGGGGTGTACGTTTGAAATGTTGCTCGTTTTTGGATAATATGGACCCTGATCAACTACGTTCCAATAGAGCAACAGGTCTTGGTCTTACTTAAGAACCACTGCTGTTGTTCGTTATCTTACTTAAATATCGTTGATCATGGGATTGTAAAATTGGGTGTTTTCTTTCGGTATTGCCATTTACACAACTGTGATTGTTTATACAAGTCATTGTACCTCTATATACTAAGCGTTCTAGTTTGAGTTGCTCTGGTCTTGTTGTTTCTACAGTAGGTCTATTTCTTACTCTTTCTTAACAAACATAGGTGTTGTTCCTCATCTTACGTAAGTACCTTTGGTCACGAGAACAATCTTGGTCTTAGGATTGTAAAGTTGATTCTTTTCTTTCAGTGTTGCCACTTAATACAAATGTAATTGTTTACAACTTTACTTACTAAGCGTAAGCACCGTCGGTCTTACTGAAGTACTTTCGTCTTATCTTAGTACCCGTAGGTTTGATTAAATATCATTCATCCCATTATTGCGCACTTCTAACGTTGTTCTTGGTTTTGCTTAAGTACTTTTGATCATAAAAACGATCCTGACCTTGCGTATAATCGAATCTTTGTGTATTCGCTATAACACTTATGTTTTTGTTATTTACGAATTAATAATAATTTCTTACTACTTATTACATTTACTCGGCTTATGCACCATTGGTCTTATTCTCCATCTTCCTTAAGTACATTTCATGTTGTTTTTGATCTTGATTTGGTACCCTTGAGTTTGACTTAACACCATCTGTCCCATTTACCCAAAGAACAATAAATTAGTGATAGCCTTTTCCGTTTCTAACTTGTTGATAGCGTGCCACAAACAGTTTGTTATTATTTGGACAACGTCCAGAATGTTCCTACGTAAATGTAAGAAATTATGGATAATGTTTAAAATAACGAGGCTTGTTTGTTGTTTGAATTGGATTTTTAATGGGTTCATAATAATAAATATTTCCAATAAGGGAGATTACTGTACTAGATCCTGGTCTATCCACTGCACATGTTCTAGGAGGATATTTAATTAATTTAACTCGATCTTATTAATTAATTAATTATAAGGTAAAAGTATTTAATTTTCACTGCCCCTTCCAAAGGGTATTTTAAAAGAGATTTTGCTCATAATTTCTATCACGTGGAAATTTTTTTTATGTTTGGTGGAATTCTTTTTAAACTATACATATTATAAAATCGCAGTTTTGTATTAGGAGGCGTCTATAACAGACAATCTGTTGGAATATCACTTTTCATTTTTCAGCTGTGACTGATAGCAAGGCTCAGTTTTTANGTAAGTAGGTATAAGTAAAGAAGTTTCACTTCAAAAAACCTTCATTTTTCAAATTTTATTTGTTTATAATCAATTTTCCACGACTTCTTAAAATTGCACACATGAATATTCTTTACTTATACCTACTTACACATATTGTCTAGAATTTATAAGAACTGGCCCATTCCACATTTATCACAAGTTTCTTAATTCTGATATTACCATTTTAATAGCGAACTGTAGAGAATTAAGAATTTTATGACATTGAAAAGTCAACTCCAATCAGCGCTGCACGTACTGACAAATGTTGCAATGTTTATCCTCACACAATACGATTTACTTTTTTAAATAACAATAAAAAGATCTTGTTACGTAATGTATTACCTTCAAAGAGGAAATGAAAACAATTTTCCATCTGCCTATCAGCCTGTTATGC